CCTCTTGCCTTTCCACTTCCACTTCCCGTTGAAATAACTGCACGTGATGAGGAGGTGATGCCCGCACCTCGGAACTGGACCTCGGGGTGTGGGCCTAGCGAGGTGTATTGTTAGCACAGCCCCCACTGCGTCTGGTGCCCCTGAGGTGTGAGAATGGAAGCTTCTCGGGCTGAGCTTGACCCTGAACGTGATCTCCCACTCGTCACGTCCTGGCTCTGCCCTGGCAGCAGGCGGCAGTGGACCTGTGCGCAGGGAGTGGCTTGTCCTTCCCCATCAGCTGGGAAGTCCGGCCACGCCTCCCTTCCGATTCCTTCCTGCCCTGAAGCTCCGTTCAAGGTTGTGCTGGGAAGAGGGCTGTGCTGGCCCGGCTGGCGTGGCCCAGTGGTTGAGCGTCGACCTATGAACCAGGAGGTCAGGGTTCGATTCCTGGTCAGGGCACAGGCCCGGGTTGCAGGCTCCATCCCCATTGAGGAGCGTGGGGGGGGGCATGCAGAGGGCAGCTGATCCATGATTCTCTCTCGTCATTGATGTTTCCATCTCTCTCCCTCTCCCTTCCTCTCTGAAATCAATAAAAAAATATATATTTTAAAAAGAGGGCTGTGCCCCCCCTCCCCCCCCGCCGGGAGGAGTAAGAGGACACCCAGGTGAGTCAGTGGCTGCAGAGCCGGCTGCAGGTGGCGTGTGGCTCTGACTGACTTACTGGCCCGGGTCCCAGGGGGGACTTTGTATGGGGAGCAGCTGCTTCAGAAGACAGCGCTGCCTCCCCCGCACCCGCCCCCCGAGTTCCAGGAGGCCCTGAGAGTCCCTTTCCCATCAGTGCCTCCCACAGCCCCACGGGAGCCCCACGGGAGGCCTGCAGGACGGGACCCGGGGGACCTGAGGGCCGGGAGGACATGTCCAGCCCCAGGCCCCTCCCTGACGGAGACTGCCAGCCGACTCCTGGGCCTCTCTCCAGGGCCCACCAGAAGCAGGTGGGGGAGGGGGAGCCAGGCCGGGGGGCTCCCCCAGGACCGTGTAACTCCAGACAGAAGGGACCCAGGCTTCCCTTCCCACCGCCTGCCCTGGGCTCCTGGGAGCCGGTGACCTCAGCGGGAAGGCAGCCGGGGGCTGTGGTGAGAGCCTGCGGGGTCTTTGCTGAGTCTCCGTGGGGTGGGGGTCCCGGGAGGACAGACACAGAGCACACGCCCTGCCCAGGTTCCGGGGCTTCTCACACGCCCACGATGGCTGACCGCACAGCTCACTGTCCTCTGTGCCAGCTGGTGTTGGCGGGGCCTTGACGCCCCAGGCACTTGCTCAAGGCCTGGCCCCTGCCTGTCCACAGAGGGTCAGCCCCCCCCCCAGCACTGAGCCCCGTGGGGGGGCTGCGCACAGTGAGGGCCGGATCGTGGGCTCCTTCCTGCAGGTGGGGTGGTCTCCTGCCCTTGCTCTGCGAGGCCGATCTCCCACGGGATTTGCAACCCCGACTGCACGTAGGAATCGGCTCGGGGATGTGTTATTCTTAAACCACAAACCCTGGACCCCGCTGGGCCTCCGGGGCCTGGAGGTGGGGCCTAGAACCTGCTTTTGAAACACTCAGCCTGAGGTTTCTGATGCACAGACCAGGCTGGAATCTGCTGTGGCTCCCCCACCCTCACCCTCACCCTCACCGTCTCATCTCATCAGGACCCCTGACACCCAGGTCGCCCCCGTTGGTCACACTGTCACCGCCCCTGCCCGGCAGCTTCTCCTCGCAGGTGAACACGCTTACGCTTCTCCCGGGACTCAGACGCTGGTCCTCGCCACATCCTGGAATCCACTCATTCTCGCCGCTGACCCCTGACATCCGCTCCCGTCCGTCCGTCATTCCTTCTCTCAGACTGAGCTCGGTGTCCCTCAGCATCTTCCCTTGCGTTCCTGCCCTCCTGGGGTGACCTCATTCACTTCATTCCCACCCCCGTCCCTAGCGGCCTCCTCAGCCAGTGGACACGCCTCTCGGCCTTCCTGCCTGGTTTAGGGCTGCACCTCACCCTGCGCCCTGGCCTCTGTCCCCGTCACGCAGCTGGCCGCTGACCCTGGGGACACAGCCTCCTCCTCCTCCGTGGGGTCCTTCCTACGGTCTCCCCCACTGCCCCTCCCGCGGTATTTCTGCTGCGTCCCTCCTCCCAGTCTTCTTCCTCACCCCTCAGCCCTGGCGGGCCACAGCCCTTGGGGCTGGTTCTGAAACTCAGCCCTGGCTGCATCGTTTTCCCTGTCAAAACCCTTCCCAGGGCTGCCAGCTGCCTGGCGAGGAAGCCTGGCACGTGGGTCCCACGCCAGTCTGACCGCTGCCCACCTCAGCCTCGTTCTTCCATGTTTTCTAAACCCAAGTCTGAGCTGGCCTTGTTTCCTCCCCGTGTCCAACAGCCTGTGGCCAGGCAGACCCCACACCTCTGAGCTCCCGGACATCCACACTGGCTGGTTCTGGGGTGCCCTTTGCCCTCCCTCCCTGGGCCCTTCCATCAGCTTTCCAGACCTCCCCCATCCCTGCCTCTCCCGTGGCGTCTTCCTGACACGACCACGCGGAATTCCTCTCTTCCTCTGTGGCCACTGTTCCCTCCAGAGTGTGCGCTCCCGGGTGGGGGTGGGGGTGGGCCAAGCACCGCCGGACACCCAAGTGGACTCCGTTCCCAGGACCCCGCACAGGTGCCTGGTCGCTGCTCGTGAATGAGAACGAACACGTCGCTGTTGGGGAGGGCTTTTTATTTATTTAAATAATTAACACCTCCGTATGAAATTGTGCTAACATTATTTTTTAAGTTTCCTGCTGACTTGATTAAGATGATGTTTTTATACTATAAATCCACGCACTTATTCCTTCTGTGGCATATGTTACTTTTATATGACAAAAGGGACCTATCACTGTTGTTTCTTAGTGAAATTATTTATCCAAATTATCATTAATAAGTTCATTAATAATAATGTATCTAAATTAATGCAACTGCAGGTATGATAGGTACATGTCGTACAAGTCAGTTGTACACAGTGTGCTTGCATTTTTATAGGCGTCTTACCGTTACCACGAGTCGGTCAATGTGGCAGCAGAGAGAGTGGTGACCAGAAGTCCCTCCCACACCGCCCGCCTGAGGTTGTCCCCTCTTTCACACAAGCCTCTCTCCCCCCAATTCCTTCTATTGCGGTAAAATCCACACAACGTGAAACTCACCTTCTCGCCGTCCTTCAGTGCAGAGCTCGGTGTCAAGTGCATCCACACGACTGTGCAGCGTCGCCACCATCCGTCACAGAACGTCTTTATCTTGTAAACGGAAACTGTGCTCCCATTAAACCCGAACTCCCCATCTGCCCCCCTCCCCGCCCCCGGCAGCCGCCGTTCTACTTCCTGTCGGTGGATTTGACTCCTCTGAGTACCTCGTACACGTGGAACCCACAGTCTTTGTCTTTTTGTGACCGGCTTCTTCCATGTTGTAGCGTGTGCCAGAACTCCCTTCCTGTTCCAGGCTGAATACTATTCCGTGGTGGATCTACCACATTTTACTTACTCATCCCTCCATCTATGGTCGACGGGCCGCCTCCGTGTTTAGCTGTTGAGAATAACGCGCTGTGAACAAGGGAGTACAGGTGCCCTGGGAGGCTGTTTTCAGTTCCTTTGGGAATATATTTAGTTGTAATTTTTCGAGGAACCGCCCTCCTGTTTCCCAGGGCGGCCATCCCAGCTCCCCTGGTTTCCAATGTGCGGAGGCAGTGCCCTGACCGAGGCGAGCGCAGGCTCTACACCAGGCAGGTCTGGGTCTGAATTGGGGCTGTGCCGTGTGGGCAAGGCTTTCAGCCTCTCCGGGCTTGGTTCCCATCTGTAAAGTGGGGGTGCCAATGACCACCTCCAGGGGTGGAATTGTCCCCCATCTGTAGAACGGGGTGCCAATGACCACCTCCGGGGCTGGAATTGTCCCCCATCTGTAGAACAGGGTGCCAATGACCACCTCCGGGGCTGGAATTGTCCCCCATCTGTAGAGTGGGGGTGCCAATGACCACCTCTAGGGGTGGAATTGTCCCCCATCTGTAGAACGGGGGTGCCAATGACCACCTCTGGGGCTGGAATTGACCCCCATCTGTAGAGTGGGGGTGCCAATGACCACCTCCGGGGGTGGAATTGTCCCCCATCTGTAAAGTGGGGGTGCCAATGACCACCTCCGGGGGTGGAATTGTCCCCCATCTGTAAAGTGGGGGTGCCAATGACCACCTCTGGGGGTGGAATTGTCCCCCATCTGTAGAGTGGGGGTGCCAATGACCACCTCCGGGGGTGGCAGAGTCCAGGGGATGCGGGTTGAGGGGAGCACAGCCAGCGCACTGTAGCTGAGCAGGGAGCGGCGTCTGTGCCTTTGAACTTAAGATCCCCCACATACTCTTGCTCCTCGCATGCCGTCCTACTTGGGTAGTGTTCTCTTTTAAAAAACTTAAAAAAAATTGATCTTTAGAGAGAAGGGAAGTGAGAGGGGTAGAGAGAAACATCATCTATCAGCTGCCTCCTGCCCGTCCCCCACTGGGATAAGCCGCACCCAGGCATGTGCCTGACAGGAATCGAACCAGTGACCTCCTGGTTCATGGGCAATGCTTGGTTCTCAGACACGTCAATCCGCCCACACTCTGCCCACAAGTCACCTTCCTTAGATCCCTGCTCCGGGGGTATCACCCTCCTGCTCAAAACGGTCAGCTCAGTTCCGACAGGCGGGGCAAGCCCCTCTCCAGGCATTCGGAGCCCCGACAGGAGCCCTGAGCAGCCACCCCGCCATGCCACCGCTCCTGCCCCCACGGCACCCTGTGTCCCCAAGGCCCGCGGCAGCCCCGTGCTGGGCCTCCTCCAGGGCTGCACCGGCCTCTCCGCGTGGGGAGGGGGGAGGGCCCGGTGTGAGCGGGGAGGGGCTGGACACAGGCTGCTTCTCCCCAGGCTCCCGGGGGCGGGCAGGCCCGGGCGGCGAGGAGCATGCCGGCGTCTCCAGCACCTAACACGCTGCCCCCTCGGTTCACAGGGACGTTCGTCTCAGCCTTCGCCGTGCTGTGCGGGGCCCGCACCGACCTCCCCGACAGGCACGTGTGCTGCGTCTTCTGGCTGAACATCGCGGCCGCCCTCATCCAGATCCTCACGGCCATCGTCATGGTGGGCTGGATTATGAGCATCTTCTGGGGCATGGACATGGTCATCCTGGCCAGTGAGTAGCCACGGACCAGCCCCTCGTGGGCGGGGCTGGTTGAGGGGGCGTGGCCGGAGGAGGAGCAGCCATGAGCCACGCCTCCTTGTGGGAGGGGTGGGACCGGGTGAGGGAGCAGGGGCTGGAGGAGGAGCAGTCACAGGCCACGCCTCCTCATGGGCTGGGCTGTTGGGCGGGGCCGGAGGAGGAGCAGCCATGGGCCACGCCTCCTTGTGGGCGGAGCTGAGCCAGGTGAGGAGGCGTGGCCGGAGGAGGAGCAGCCACGGGCCACGCCTCCTTGTGGGCGGAGCTGAGCCTGGTGAGGGGGCGGGGCTGGAGGAGGAGCAGGCTGATTCTCTAGGGTCTGGGGGTCTGTGACCCTCAGGGCTGGGCACGTGGCCAGGAGCTCTGCTGAGCCTGCTCCTTCCCCGAGGGCTCACCTGTGTCCTCCTCACGGGTGTCCGTGTCCGTGCTGCCTGCCTCCCTGCACGCCCAGCCCCACGCCTACAGGGACTCCTGGGCGCGGACAGGCTGAGACCAAGCCAGGGAGCGTGAGCGAGAGGGAGCTCGGGTCCCTGTGCCCCCTGCCCTGCGCCTCCTGCCCTGCGCCTCCATCATGCACTTTCCAGAAAGAAGAGAAAGGCCACGTGGTGCATTTGCCCGCGGACACCCTTTGACTGTGTGTTACAGCCAGAGCAGCATAATTTCTCCTTTAAACTGAGCTCCTTGTCGCTTGATTCGAAACCTTACTTCCTCACTGGGATTGCTGGCCCTTCACCAACCATTTCACACCAAGGCTGTACCCAGGATCCATGGGGCCTGGGTCTCAGCAATAACCTAGAGCCGCCCTCGCCTCGCCCTAGATGAGGGCATAGAAGCCCCGAAGTACAGGCGGGGACCTGTCGCTGCCCCACTTCCCATCATCTCAGGCTGTTGACTCAGCCAGAACCCTGTCCTCTATGGCTGGTGTGGGGCCATAACTGGGCTGCAGGATCATCAAATGCAGAACCTCACCCCCACCCTTCCTACTGCTCCCAACCGGAGCCTCCCCTGGGGTCAGAGCCAGCTCCCTGGATGTCCGTACACTGTTCCCGGTGCTGTCTTCATGTCAGACGTTTCAGAGCGCTGTTTGGGGATGGACTGGGGGCTGCACCAGAAAACCCGCCAGACTTCACTCCTACCCACTTTCCTGCCCTGGACCCAGACTTGCTCACCCACCTCAGCATAAGGTGTCCTTGCACTTTCCCCAAAAAATAAACCCACCTCAAAGGATGAACAGTTGCCACTCTTGAGATGGTGCCATGGGCCTGGATGGCCCCAAGCAACAACACAGTGTGTCCCAGGATGACGAGTTTGAAGGGAATAACCACAACTGACTTCACTCCTGGCTGGACAGAGGCTGCCCTTTCTGCCCCTCCAGCCCCTTCTGAGAAAAATGAAGGAAACGTTTCAGTTGTAACCATACAGGAAGTTCTTTCACATGGCATACTATTCCATACCATACTGTACCATACATACCATACCATACATACCGTACCGTACCGTACCGTACCATACATACATACCGTACCATACCATACCATAAAACAATAACAACAACAAAAAACTCCTAAGAGGGGAATCAGAGAAATATAGATCAAAGTAGAAGTTAAAATGAAGAACTTACAAGCTCAC